GTTATTACTGTTTACATTGCCCGAAGATCTCCTGATCGCTCCGCCAACATAAACCCAGAACTGAACTCTAGGTTTGTCCCTTGGGAAGCCCTCGTATTACTAACTATCTAGTGTACGGTTCGTCACACGTTAACAACTCTTGTTCGGACGGTTACCAGACCTACGGGCAATAACAAAAATGAGTCAAGAAAACTTCCAAGACCCAGTTGAGCAAATGGACCACGAAACGCAAGATCCAAACCTTGAAGAACTTCAACTGCCAGCCAACGGGGCGGAAGCTACTGCACGACTTGTAGCTATGGAAGAATTGGTACGACAACTTCAGCGCACTCTTGCCGCCCAAAACAGGGAGCTAGGCAACCTGCAGCAACAACAGGGAGTACACCAAGCCACTATTACTCAACAAAACCAAACCATCGATAACCTACAGCAGCAACTGCACAATCCACCAGCGGTTGCGCCCGCTGTGGCTCCAGCTGTGGCACCTGCTGTAGCCCCCGCCGTGGCACCAATGGTACCTGCTCCGGCAGACGACACTGAACCAGAACTAGGAAGAACTCTGAAACCTGAACAACCAACCAAATTCGACGGAGACACCACCAAACTTCGCAAATTCCAATATGACCTACGAACCTACTTCGAGTACTATTTTCCGAACACCTTCTCGGCAGACAAGTATGAAACTCGCATCCGTTTCGCAGGAACCCGAATGGAAGGTGCTGCCGCCGACTGGTTCAGCTCGATCCTCAAGGACAGACAAAAACCTCTTGACCAGCAAACACAACTCACCAAGGATGTGTTCAAAAGCTACGAAGAATTTGAAAACCAATTGGAAAAATCCTTTGGAATCACCAACGAAGCTCAAGAAGCCGAAAAGAAGCTTAGGGACCTCAGACAGAAGGGCCCGTGCTACAAACACACTTCAACGTTCATCCAACTACTCACTAAAGTCAATTGGACTGAAGAATCGAAGAAGGAAATGTACTACTACAGTCTGAAGCCAGAAGTCAAGGATGAAATTTACAAGACCGACCGACAGGCCGTCAGTTTCACTGACCTCACTCAGGAAGCGATCAAAATCGACAACCGACAGTGGGAAAGAAAACAAGAAAGAAAGGCAGAAAAGACTGGAAACCCAGTCAAACACCACCCTCAAGCCAACCAAGGAAAGAAACGAGACGACTACGTTGCAAAAGACAACGGTACCCGACCTGGGAAAATGGACATCGATGACGTTACCAGGAAGAAGTTCCTCGGAACCTGCAACGCCTGTGGCAAGAAAGGCCATAAGGAAGCAGACTGCCGCTCCAAGATGACTTGCGGATTCTGTGGCAAGAAGGGCCATGATGAAGCTCACTGCTACACCAAGAAAAATACGAAGAAATCTGAGACCACTAAAGACAAGGCTCAAATAGACACCATCACGGAAGTACCCCACGACCACCTCAGCTGGACAGCTTGCTACAACGATTCATGTCTTGTGCACAAAAGCAGCAAGGAAGGATCCGGATACTATCCAAAGAAGCCACGAGCCAGGAAGTCTCACGAGACTGTACGAATTGATACCCTCAATTTCTACGAAAAGAAATGTGAAGACTGCAGCTCCACGGAACCTTGTTCCGTTCATGCACTCTACGAATGCTCATCTTGCGGCTCATGGAACATCAATCACACGTGCGAAAACAACGAATCGGAGGAATGGGAACTCTCGGATGAAGAAACTAGCAAAGACGAAATCATCTACGACGAGAGTGGGAGAATCCACGAATGCAGTTTCCACACAACTGATAGGAAACACCAACAGTGGATCAACACCCTTCCAGACACGCACCCTTTCGCAAAACATAAGGAAGCCCTAGAACCGAAACCCGTTACTTTCGAAGACATATACGACAGCGACGACACCGACGACGATGAATGTCATCAATGCGGCGCTCAAGAACCCCGACATGACATAACATGCCCAAAATACACAGGAGAATACGGATGCCCACTGTGCATGTCAGAAGAAGAAAATCACAAATGCACGGGATGCGTATACTGTAGAAGCATGAAAATTCCACATCTATGCGACGAAGAAATGCGCAAATGGAGGAAATATCGATGCAAAGTCTGTGAATCAACAAACCTCGACCACGACTGCGACGGATGCCGCATCTGCGGATCCTACGACCCCGAACATGACTGCATGTATGTTCTAGGGGAACAAGCAGAAGAACAAGAAAGACAAGAGGAAAGACAACAATACCTCGACGAAAACCCACCTCGTAGAATGACCCTAGAAGAGGCTCGGGAACAAATCAGACTCAACAAAATAGACATTCAAGGAGCATACGACCAAGTCCCTATCCAGGACCTCCTTGATGCCCTAGACGAAGACTGCGGAACACGCAATTGGAAATGGTGCGATAACATCTATTGCCAAATACATATCTTCGATAAACTAGAAGACTGGCACAAATATCGACCGAAGCAAGTCAAGCATGAAGAATGCACAACAGACCACTTCCTAGACTGCGCAGTAACATACTGCAGCATACACAGAGAAGAGAAAAGCCAATTTTATCGGATCACCCGAAAACTGGCACAAAAAGGTTATGATTTTGAGAATCATCTAAACCAAAAACAAGGCAATAAAACCCTGATCAAGAGATACCACCGTTTGATCAAAGATCGAAACGAAGAATTGAAGTGCCAATGGTGCGCAAAATACCAAAACGTCACATGGGACCAAACCCATTTAGACAGCATCCAAATCGACTCAATCGGGAACAACAGCAAGAAACTACGAATTAAAGGATATATCAATCAATCCCCAGTTACGACATACGTGGACAGTGGTGCGGATCGCAACCTCATCACTCCCAAAATGGTAAACCTACTCGGATTACCATACGCCAAGAAAAAACAACCTACATATGTGTCTAGTGTCGCTACACCCAATGCCGAGACAACAATCAATTACGAGACTGATCATCTCCCAATCACGATTGCTGGTCATACTGAGACTATCAAATTTGACATCATGCCTCTCGGTAACTGCGACGTTTTGCTTGGACACCCCTGGTTGAAACAAGGCAACCCACTAATCAACTGGAGAACTGAAGAAATACTCTGGGAAACAGACGTCACCCCGGAGCTGTGACTAAGCCATGGAGAGGGCAAGGAAGGCGAAGACGCGCCTACAGACCCAAAAACAAAATCTCATGCGCAACAAAATGAAGAAAAAACAGAAAAAACAAGAACGGAACCTAGAAGAAAGGTCAGATTCAATACGGAAAAATCACCAGTACCACCTCAATATGACCACCGAAGAGTCAAGGGAGAACAAGTACGTATCGACCGAATTATCGAACGAACGAAAAAAGAATTACGAGCTCTAGACAAAGCCTTACTAGAAGCAAAAGAAAAAGACAAACTAGGAGAATTAGAAGAAACTCTCCTGAAAGCACCTCGACAATACAGAAGGAAATACAGAAAATTGTTTAGCCCAACATTGGAAACGGTACAACCGCTTCACTCACAATGGGATCATTGCATAGATCTCATGGACGGAAAAACAACGAAGTCCTTTCCAATCTACAATCTCAGCGAAATGGAACTCAAAACACTTCGAGAATGGATACAAGAACAGTTAGAAAAAGGACACATCAGGCCATCCACATCACCAGCTGGATACCCTGTTATGTTTGTACCAAAGAAAAATGGGAAACTCAGACTAGTCATCGACTACAGACAGCTGAACGAAATCACAATCAAGGATCGAACCCCATTGCCGCTCATCACGGAAATTCGAGACCGCCTAACCGGTGCAAATTGGTTCACTGCCTTGGACCTCAAGGGAGCGTACAACCTGATTCGCATCCGCGAAGGGGACGAATGGAAAACAGCGTTCAGAACACGCTACGGACTATTCGAATGCTTGGTCATGCCATTTGGGCTTACCAACGCACCCGCAACATTCCAACGAATGATCAACCATGTACTACGAGCATACATTGACGACTTCGTGATCGTATACCTAGACGACATCCTCATCTTCTCGAAAACCCTTGAAGAACACGAGGAACACGTCCACAAGGTACTACAGACACTACAAGACGCCAACCTCTTAGTGGAACTAGAAAAATGTCATTTCCACGTTCAAGAAGTCAAATTCCTAGGACACCTGATTTCACCAGGACAAGTCCGAATGGATCCAGATAAGCTTAAAGCAATCCGAGACTGGGAATTTCCAGAAACAAGAAAAGGAATGCAAAGCTTCTTAGGCCTAGCAAATTACTACCGAAGATTCATCAGGAACTATAGTAAGATCGCTAAGCCACTTACTGATGCCACTCGACTCGAAGAAGACGAAAAAGGCAAGAAGAAACCAAAAGACAGGAAACTCGCATACAAACCGGAAATGAAAGCAGCGTTCGAACAACTCAAAAACGCACTTCTCAGCGAACCTGTGCTTATTATGTACGATCCTAACAAACCATTGGAAATCGAGACCGACTCATCGGATTTCGCCATTGGGGGAGTACTAATACAGAAAGATGAAAATGGGAAAAACCATCCAGTAGCATTCTTCTCACGGAAACTACATGGACCAGAGCTAAGATACCCCATATACGACAAAGAATTCATGGCAATCCTCGAAGCATTCAAGGAATGGAGACACTACTGTTTGGGAAGTAAGTACAAGGTCAAGGTCCATACCGACCACCGCAACATCGTGTACTTCACCAAGACTCAGAAACTCTCTACACGGCAAACACGATATTTCGAGACACTCTCAGACTTTGACTATGAACTCATTCATTGCGACGGCACTGCAAATGGAAGAGCAGATGCATTAAGCAGAAAAGAAGAACACTTCGAAGAAATCCCAGAATTCGAAGCCCAGATTCTAAGGAAGAATTACCAAGGAAACTACGAACAAATACGGGTTGACACTCTATTTGTCGTAGAAGAACACAACCCCATTCTTGACAAAATAAGGGAATGTGTAGCAAACATGGAACCAGAAGAACTCCCGGAAGAAGCAACCATTGAAGATGGCTTGCCCAAATGGGAAGGAAGAATCTGGGTACCACCGGAATTGCAGCTCGAAGCAATTCAGGACTTACATCGCAGCATGATCGCAGCAGCACACCGTGGTGTCAAAACAACATGGAACCACGCAATGCGATACTACAAATTTCCAGGAATGAAGAGCAAAATTTCGGAAGTCATCAAGAAATGCGATATATGCAAGAAAACAAAAGACGAAAGGCATCGGCCATATGGAACACTGCAACCAATCCCAGTTCCGGATAGGAATTGGCACACTGTTACATTCGACCACATCACCGACTTGCCTAAGTCAAAAGATCCACTAACCGGAAAACAATTTGACAGTATTTTCGTGGTTGTGGACAAACTCTCGAAGCAAGCATACTTCTTACCACATAAGAAATCGCACACAGCAGAAAACTTAGCGCATCTCTACATAAGATATGTATTTGCTGAACACGGAATGCCAAAAGAAATCATATCGGACAGAGGAAGTACCTTTGCGTCCAAATTCTGGCAAGAATTAATGGCTAAACTCGGAACTCATCACAAGTTAAGCACCGCGTTCCATCCACAAACGGACGGACAAACAGAACGGATGAATCAAGTCATCGAAGCATACTTACGATGTTACATCAACCTCCAGCAAGACAACTGGGTTGAAATGCTACCAATCGCTCAGATGCAATACAACAGCTCCACAACGGAAACCACAGGAGTTACACCGTTCTACGCCAATTACGGGTTTACACCAGAAGCCTACAGACCACCTCGTGATGGTCCAAATGCGGACAATGCGCGCATTCTTGCGGAAGATATGATCCAATTACAGGAAGAACTCAAAGCTCAACTCGAATTCTTCAGGCAGCGCACAAAGGAATACGCTGACCGAACAAGGATTGAGGGACCAACCCTTCAGGAGGGAGACATGGTCTACCTACTACGACATTCACGCAATAAAAAATTGCCAAACATCAGAACAAACAGGCCAAGTGACAAATTGGATTTCAGGAAACTTGGACCATTCAAAATTCTGAGGAAAATCGGCGAAGTCAACTACGAATTAGACTTACCCGAAAACATGAGGTTAAAAACAGCCGTTTTCCACGTATCACTACTCGAGAAAGCACTAGTGGACGAAGAAACAGGCGAACCAATTATGGACGAAATCATTGTCCAAGACATCGAAGAAGAATATGAAATTGAAAAGCTACTTCGCATGCAAATAAATGAAGAAACAGGAGAACGGGAATACCTCGCAAGATGGAAAGGATATGATTCCAGTGAAGACTCTTGGGTCCCAGAAAAAGAACTCAAGAGGAACGCCCAGACAATTCTGCGGGAATTTCACCAGTCTCTAGGGGTGGAAATAACGACGGGTCCAAATCGAAGGACGACCAATCAACAGCGTCGACGGACTGGGACGGGCCGGCAGCGGCAGAACTAGGCGCCAACAAAGCAGCCTGACGAGCAGCCTCCGCCTCCTCACGCTCAACCCGATCCAACTCCTCCAAATCAGTGATTCCCCGCGCAACAGCACGCCTCATCTTCTCATACCACATCTTCTTTTGTTTACGAAGACGCTCGACCTTGGCATCCGCGCGACGACGCTCTTCCTCAGCCTCCTCAAGCTCGTCTTCCAAACGGAAATGATGAACAGCGATACGCTCCAGCTGCTCCGAAGTCAAACCCCGGACGTCGCAGTAAGACTGATTCAAACGAACACACTCCGAACAACGAGAAGAATCGTTGGGAGATAATAAACATTCCTTATGACCTTTGGAAACGCAAAACGAACAACGCTTGTCCATATCTTGAGCGCCAGCAACGATAAGTTGGAATAAAGATTTGCGACGAGTAGTCTTTGGATGAACCGACTTGGTAATTCTGTTCGGCATAATCAGGACAGTAAATAAAGGAACACAAGAAAAACACTAGTACAAGGAAACTAGGGAACAACCGCACTCACCAAGTGGGGGATGCGTTATTTATACCAAGGCCAACAAGGTCTTGGGGACAAGACCAACAGGAGGGGAGTATCGTGTCACGACCCATCTCTTATGGTCGCACCAACAGGCCTACCGGGTAGGCAGAACCGGATTAATGTAGGGCCGACCTACCAATCACGGATGGATCATTAGATCATCACAATGATCCAATGAGCCAGAC